AACTCATTTGTGGCTTAGTATAATGAGCCTAAATCACATATGACTTGCAAAAACATTGAACACTACATGAACAGCACTTCGAAGGACAAAAAACAGAATTCAAGAAATAGTTACACTTGTAAATAGTTAGCTAAAAAATAAGGAAAATATATAAGAATATTTTTTAAAACAGAAAAATATTTCTTTAAAAAAATGATTATCGGGGCATAAACTCTTGCCAATAAAATCTCAAAAATATATGCAAAGAGGGTTTTGAAGAAAACTTCACCATGCAAATTAGCAATGTTTTTTTGTCACCTGATTAAAAGTTCAAAGCTGAAATTAATCATTGTTAAGCGACGAGCACACCTTGGGATGCTAAAAAATATGCATGATTTCTGGGGAATCGGCGATAGGTGAAACCAGAAATGAATGAAGATTAAAATGAGTGTCTATATATAAAGCCAGATCGTTATGTCATCGCTTCGCACAGACATCAGCACCCAATTAACCTTAGCAATAAATTTTTATAAAAATTCACATTGCCTGCTTATCAAGGGAAACAAAACATTCCTCGCTATATACAAGTACTACATATATAGAGATGCATGTTTACATGGATTCATTTGGTGGATTTGCATTGGCTGCCGATCCGTAATTACGCTAAACGTTATGCGCATTTATTTCCCATTGATTTTGCATTTTAAATTTCCTTCGTGATTTCATTTGAGAGCTCCGCATGAAATAGATTGGTGTGTAGGAAATGTTAAGCGTTAATTTATATAGTTCAAAGTTGATTACTCGACATGTTTTTGTTAAAATATGCAAATCTGGTGCTTGAACAACTTTAATATGCAGTCTCTGGCCAAAGAGCCAAAAACTAGTTTACGGTCAACGTTTTTTGGATGCATAATTCCCCAGAAATGGCTGACCAAATGACTTTTTATTTAGCTCACATTATATGCTCATAATAAATGAGAGCAAAGTGGGTGGATGGCTTTAGTGGGTCATCCTAATGAGGTCCGAAATTTCGGTCACTCCCAAATATTTTTCGCAGACATTTGTTGTTTGAGTGCAAGTGTTTTTCTCTCTCTGGACGGCCGGTTGCATTGACCCAATTTGTTTATTTATTGAAATTGCTTTTATGGGTAACCCGAGACAGAGTGTCTACCTCGCTTTCGTCCCCCAAATAGTATCTCTTCAATCGACAATCTACAATCATTTTGTGGCCCCGGCACACTCGGCTTCAATTATTATTTATCGATTCCAACTCAATTTGTCAACTATATATTTTCCACAGCCACTCTCTGGTGGGCTAGTGGTATAATTTGGCATTCGATCCGATGCATGATTCATTCGAGGCTGTGTACAATTTTGATGCTGTGATTCCAAAGGCGCTCCAGATCAAATGAGCTTTGTAGCAGCTAGACTTCGACTTTGAGGACACAGCCGTGGAAATTAAATTATAAATTTACACAGATTTATTCTACAAAGTCCTCGGGGCATGATTTCGCCCGCTTACCAAATCTCTGACCACCCACAAATCGGTATAAATGACTTTATTGCCTGGGGGCGTTGGATGTTGGATGTTGGATAACATGTAGAGAGCCATTTTGTGGATCCCAAAACGTGCAGCTCCCCTCCCCGTTTCCCGTCCCCTTGACATTGTCACCTCAGTCTGTCTGCTGCTGTAATTGCTTAGTCTAATTTATGCCAGCGGACGAAGCAAAGTCAATGTCGTCGTAATGGGCAAAATGAAACCGAAATGGAAAAGAGACCAAAACAAAGACAGCAACAACATGAGACACAGCAACAGAAACAAAAACAAACAGAGCCCCCAGACAGCGACATGAAAAAGCGTTTATCTAAGCAAAATGTTACCAAAGTCCGTAATTACAATTTATTGCAGGTAATTATGTAATTTTCGTGACGGATTTTGTTGTTTAGAGCTTCAACGAGGGGAGACAAAACTAAGTGCGTGCGTACACAGAGAGAAATATATGAAGAGTGTAGTAAATATTCGGACTACTTTTTATTTTTTCCTACTATTTTTAAAAATTAGTTAACTGACTGTAAAACAATATTCTACATCTGCTAAAAAAAATGTTCAAATAATTCTTTTAAATAATAATTCTATCTTCTTGTAAAAATAAATCAAAAAAATTAATCATTTCACTCTACTTGAAAGGTACATCTTAAGTTATATTGTTTTTTTTTTGTATTAATTAACTTCTTTATTTTCTCTGTACGAAAGTACTTTAAAACCCCCCACCAATTCTCCCCATGCGTACCTATTTTAAATGAGTTTTCGGATCGGAAAACTTGGCCGTCTGATTTTTAGGAGCCCATTGCATGTGGCATGCAACGTTGATTGCCGTTGACCATCGCTGGAAATCTTAGCTGGTGTTGCTCCTTGTTTTTGCTGCCTCGCAAGTTGTTTGATTTCTTGTTTGCTCAGTCAGCTCGTTGTCATTTCCTGTCCGAGGCTGGAAAATGGACAAATGCCATGAGGATGCAGCGAGATGACTGATTCTCTGGCCGTTTATTCTAACCCTTTTCAAGACGTTCTCGTTTGGATCTGAGACACGCATTTCCTGCTGGGATTATTAAGGATTGCGACAAGTCAATCGATTAATCATTGTGGGAAAGTAAATTCAATTGAAAAATAGAGATTGCACACTGCAGAAAAAACTTTTGAAAAATGACTGCTGATATGCATTTAACTTCCCAAAATTTCCCATAATCAATGGCTCTTTTTACAAAACTTCCATGACACTTAAGAATCATCGCTCTTCTCTTTTTCTGATGACGTTTGCCAATTAAAACCCCAAAGCTATCTAAATCACATTAGTCCCAAAGAATGAAAGAAAGAAATCCCTGCTCCAACCGCTTCCGTTGAAAATTGAAATTGAAATTTAATTTGCGCAGCGAGCTGGCGAAAAAAAGCGCCAGCTCATCAACGGCGGCATTAGTTTGCACATATTCAAATCAGTTTTTTATTTGCCGAACAAAGGCTGCAAAAGAAACGGGGGAAAATCGTTAAAATAAAAACAGTTGAAGAGGTGTTGGGTAAGCGGCGGAAAGACAGGAAATACGTTTGGCCAACTAAACAGGGAAAATGCCGTGGAGAAAAACTGGAAATCATTGTGCTGCGCACCAGTCCCTTGCCATCGCCTCCACCTCCACCTCCTTCACGGGCATCATTAACATATATTTGAAAACGCAGAGGAATTCCGCTCTTGCCATCAGCCAGCGGGTTTTGTGGGTCCTCATGAAAATTTGTAAGTATGTTGGACTTGTCACTTGCACACTTCATGACCATATTTGTCACATTTGCGCCATGTTCGCGTGGCCAAGGAGCCCGCGGGGCAACCATCCAGGGGTCCGGCATTGGGTCCGCATCCTGTGGCCCCAGTACTCGTAACCCCCGGTGCCCGGTCCACCCTGTTCCATGGCTCTTCCCTCGGCGGGCAAATCAGATGCGCAACTAACGAGCAACAACCACGACAACGACAACGACGACGACATGGAAATTCGTTCGCTCTGCGTTTTGCCATTCCGAGTGGACCACAGGGTATCACAGGGTATGGTGGAAAAGAAGAGATTTAACAATAAATATTAAACCTTTTTACACAATTATTAAATTCAGTAATTTAATTTCTAGAGTTTTTAAGCAATTAAATGTTAAGTGAGTCTATTAAATTAACTAGGGTATATTTTAGTAATTTATTAGCATCACTTGTTTGTAGGGAAATAATAAATAATAATTTTTGTATATATTATCTATGTTTTAAATTAAATTTATTTTTATATTAAAAATTCAATTCAAATCTTTAATTCTCTAAAAAACAAATAAATAGTTTGAATATTTTGTAAACTTGGATTTTCTAATCTGAAGGTGTGGGCAAACTTCTCCTCTCCGAGTCTCTCCTAAAGGCACCTGAGTTTTTCGTACTTATATTGGTCATCAAACCTTCTAAACGAAGTGAACAAATTACAGGACACTCCCCATTCGACTCCCCTTTTTAGTTTGGCATTCACAACATGCTTTTATTGTTTTGCCGGCTGCTACTCCAACTGCTGCCGCTGCTGATGCTGATGCTTTCTGCGGTTGCCGCAGACGCCTTCTGGCCATATTTGTATGAATAAATGCGTATTTAAGCACATACTTACAACACTTGCCATGTATGGAGCCAGCAGCCCCAAAAGACAAGGGACACTGGCTGGGATCAAGTGGGGGAGGTGGGTCGGGGGAATTCCGTGACCAAGGGACCCAGGGACCCAGACAAGGGACAGTTCCCAGTGGCAATAGGCGAGGCCCGGCATTTTGCATTTTCCCTCATACGCTTTTCCACATTTTCAGATATATTTTCCAGCAGCGGCTCAGACTCACATTTGCTTTATGATGCTGCTGCTGCCTCACCTCAGTGGCTCCTTTTGCAGCATATTAAATTGCGGAAATATTTCAGCTGCGAAAACAGTTGCACAACCAAATTGCCGAGCAAACAATTTATTAATTAAGCCCGGACAATTTGTTAAACTCTTTTTTTACGGCAAAAGGAAACCTATTCAAATGCAAAATTGCCATTTGAGTAATTGAATATTAAATAATTATCTAAAGTTTATCTAGGTAAAATCGGATATCGGCCGGCAAGGTCAGAAAAAGTCTAATTAATGCATGATATTAAATGGAATCAAGTGCTTCGGGAAATAGGGAAAATGAATATCACCGTTCAATGGAACTATTAAGGCATTAACATAAATAAATAATTTAAATTGAAATTAAAAAGAAAAATGGCCAGGGAAAAGTGTGAGCAAAAAATAAGCTTGATAAAAAAATTGGATGTTATGAAAAAATTGCCTGTCCCCAGAGCGATTCCACTCGAAATACATTTAAATGAATATTTTAAGCAAATCATAAATTGCCGACATACAAACCTCTTTGCCATATTATTAAAAATTTACGATGCTGCAGCTGGATTAAATAATTTATGGTTTTTTGCACATTATTCTCGTTGCAGGCGGCCCTCCATCAACAATATGTTTGACGGCAAGTTCCGGCATTGGAATTGAATTTAATAAAATAAATTAAGCCACCGGGCGGAGTGGGTCAAAAACACACACAGTTTGAATTGTTAATGAGCATCGGCAAAAAGTGTTAAATGCTGATGACGCTGCCTCTGCCGACGCCGCTGTCGCTGATTCAACGGTGCTGAAAAGTCAATTAAAGGTAATCAAATCGAAACTGATTGCATTACAACACCGGCGACAATAATTTTAATTCGCATTGATGTTGTCACTTATTTCATTTCATTTTCTGCTAAATACAACAATTAATTGGGGACAGTCGGCTGTCAATCCTTAGACCCCTTTACGATTGCCAGCCCCCCTCTACGCCCCTGCTGACGCATTGCGGTTTTAAACGCGCCGTCTGACGGGTTTGCTGGCACGCGGTTTTTCTCGCTACTGCGTTTGCAATTTTTTGGTTTCGGTTTCAGGTTGTTTTTTCAGCAACTGCATTGAAATTTGAGGATTACGGTTAGGATTTGTTATGTTAAAGGGGCTTATGAATTAAGCCCATGACATTAATATGATACAAATGGTAAACCAGTCTCGGTGATTCATTTTTTGTATTTTAATCATTTACAGAAATAATGAATTACTTTTTTCTAGATTAATAAACAAACATTTAAATTATTTACATTATTATTTATTGTAGGAAATTAATTAATAGTTAAATGAAAGCACTTATTTATATTTCAAAAGTTTAACATGGGTATTCAAATTTGTAAACTATTATTATGAAACATCTGAGTAAATCCGAAAGCAATTCTTAGGAAATAAAATAATAAATTTCTTTATTTAGCGATTTATTTAATACTTTTTAAAGGCAATCAGTCCCCAGTACTTTATTTTGTTCAATCAAACGCAACTTTTGCGAGACTTTTTGGGGTTAACCAGAACAACTTGAAGCCAGCAACAGCAACAACATATGCACACTAATTGCAAGTTGTTAATGTTGGCCAAACAGAGCGGGCAACTCAATTGAAAATCTTTGGCGACTCTGAAAACTTGGCAAAGTAATATAAATCACCCAAGGGATCAGGGGAATGACCCGGGGAGAACTCGAGCCCGAACTCAAGAACTCGAGAACTCGGGGCTGAATGGTCGCCGGTTTAATGACGCAAGTAATTGCAACAGCAGCAGCAGGCAACTAGCAACTGCCAGCAGCAACTTGCAACGCGATCTGAAAACTGCAAAGGGGCTAGACTTAATGAAAATCAAACAAAACAAGCTGCGCAACAACAATAACTCAAAGTCGGTCAACTGTGCAGGGGAAAACGCTGTCGATTTCCCCTCCCCGAAAAGCAATAATTGATAAACGAACATGGGCGAACAGATGTACAAGTGTTCAAATGAATGAATCAAGCTCAATGACGATGATATCGAAGACATGCGAGCCAAATCAATTGATTTATGCAGCTGAAGTTGCCTTTGAGGACGGCCATATCGAACGCATTTAATTGAAGGCAGTAATTAAATTAATGACTCCCCGACTCCGGCGAAAAGTCTGGCTTTAATTAAGTCAAGGAATGACGGGCTGGCCGCTCTAACTAGACAACAGTAGACACTCTGGCATGAGCAACATAATTGTCACGCAATTCTTCGGCCCAGGCCAATGCACTCGCAATCGCACTCAAACTCGCACTCACACTCGCTCATTGCATTCAGAATGCGGAAGTTAATTCATTTTTTGTAGGGAAACCTGAAACGCGCCAAAAAAAATATACTGAGCCATGGCAACGCGTTTAAAACAGCGCCTGAAACGCGCTCAGCGAATTTAGCTGACAAAACAGTTTCAGAACGTGACTTTTGTTGAAAAGTGTTTACAATGCCGATAGCACTAAAAACACGATAAGTAGTTATGGCGTATTTATGTGTGAAATAAATATTAAATGCAAATCTTGAAAGTAAATGTTTTTCTTGTATTTAAAAACTAAAAAGTAATCTCCTTAATTACCCCAAACTCTTATATAAATATTTTCCTTTTAAGAAACAATTTTCTTAGCCAATTTACTCCTTTGAGCTTTTCCTAAAAATGTCTTATGATGTAATCAAATCTGCCATTTTATTGCATTCCTTGGTGGCGAGCATTTTTTCGCACTGCTCACCCCATTACTTACATATATCATTCCTCTGGCCGTCTTGGGCTTATGTATTCATAATTAAATTAATTAAATTCTTGCGCTTCAATTAAAATCTTATTAAGTTTCCGTATGCCCAGGCCCCCCTTACCCCATACACTTTTCCCTTTGGAACAATGGGGGAAACTGAAAAATTGCCGAGAACGAGAGCCAGAATGGTGGCGAATGAGGGATGAGCGGCAGACAAAGAGGAAAAAGCGGGAAATGAAAAACTTCTTACAAAGCTTACTTATTCACACATCACACAGGCAACTGCAGACTTTTCACTCGCAAATACTTTTCCTGTCTCCAACATACACACACGTTAAACATTATTCAACGGCCAGGAAAAAATGAGGAAAAATATCGTCCTGCTCTGCTCCCTTGTTGGTCCTTTTTTGGGTGCTGCCAGCAGCCAGCAGCCAGCATGGGATGCCAAAAACAAACAGGACGAAGAAAAATGCTTGCCGACCATGTGGTTCAGTTGATGTTGCTGCCGTGTTGCAGTGTTGCTGCTGCTGCCGTTGCACATATTGCTGCTGCATTCTTCGCATAAATTTCGCCATCGCACTTAACTCATGTCTCGGGGTCTCTCTTTAAATGAGTCTGGTTAGCTCTCGCAATTCTTGCACTGAAAGAAATATTGTTCAAGTTGGTATTTTCCAAAGTATAATTGAAATGGAAAACGCGAAGGTTTTTTACATTCTACTTTGAATTCATTAGTTACCTATATATTTTAGCTGCAAATTTATTCTCAGCCAAATTAAAAAAAATTAAAAAACATTTTTTTGGTCAATTTAAGACCAAATAAATTGATAATTAATTAAGGAAAAACTTTTCTTTGAGTGAATTTATCTCCTTCTCGTTCCCGCTCGGTTTGAGCTCGGAGCATAAACAATGGTGCTGCTTAAAGCAAAAAACCACGCTGCCCCCTGCCCCCCGACCACTCCCTTTACCTTGGTTTTCAGCCACGTAGAACTCTGCACACATGTGACGCCGCCCACCGAGACCCCCTCCCCAACGGCCTTGCCTCATGTAAAATTCAGCGGGGCAGCGGAAGAGCAGAGGCAGCGGCAGCGGCAGCAGGCAAAAAGTTCAGACTTATTTTATACTTTTTTTGTACTTCATCGTTGTACAATGTTGAGCGTGGAAATTTAAAAGCAAATGCAAACAATATGGAACATTTTAAATGCACCGTGGAATGGAAAACGAATAAAAGAGGTGAAAAGTTCGAACTTTGTAATTTTCTCAACTCTTATCTGGCATTCAACAGAACATTTTCATTCAAAAAGTAACGATTTTATCTGGCTAATTAAAATAAATCCCATCTCCCTAATTGATTTACCCAATATCTTGGTAATCTTCGATTTTTAGAAAAACTAACAGTTAGAGAATTTCAAGTACTTTGGATGAATTCCGAAGAAAACATTCCACTGACTATTTCATTACCTTTGCTTCACTGTACCTTTTTGTAGACGGGACAGCACCGGGCCAAGTAAATCACCGCAACTGTGAAACTAAATTTCCAGGGCACTAAATTTACGCACATCCAACTAAACCCGAGCGAAACTGAAACCAGCCTGAACCCCAGTTAACCCCAAACCGAGTGGAGCAGTGTAAGCTGCCCGCTTAGATCCTTGTCTCACTCTCTCTTTTCCTTTCTCCGGCTGTCTCTGTCCCTGTCCCTGTCCCTGTCCTTCCCCCACTTCCTTTCCCTTTTGTTATATCCTTGCCGTGCAATTTTCACCATTTTGTGGTGCACTTTGCGCCTGGCCGCGATTTTGCGAAAGATTTATGGCCCCCGACATGGAAACGGAAGCGCTGCTGTCCAGGCCACTAAGTCCAGCTGCAGGTATGCACCACCCACAGCCCACAATCCACCGCCCAATGTGGCGCCACCTAACCACCCACCTGCTTGTTGAGTCAGCAACAAAGGGGCTGAGGAGGGGGAGGCATTGTCGCGAAGAGTCCTCTCCTAATGCCTGTCAGCAAATGCCGTTGTAAGGCTCTAATGCTGTCCCTCCACTCGGTTATCACCAATCTCTTACACTCAGAAAATTATTTAACCCCAAATAAGTTTAGTAAACAAAAAATAAACATTTAAAAAAAATTATTAAAGATGGAATACAAGTCGATAAACAATCTAAAATGTACCAAATGTTTTTTAATATTTTAAAGTATTTTGATATTCCATTATTTATAACAAACATCTGAACTCGGATCATCCTTCAATTTACCTTAAAGTTGCAAAAATTATTTTCAAGTGCACACTTTTTCGGCCCCATCAAGCTGGCTCGTTTTCATTTAGCGCCCTTTACCTTTTTACTATTTAATGCTTAATTTAAATACAAATCCGATCTGTTTGCTGACTTTTGTCGATAAGCGGCACCAGAAATGATGGCGAAAGTTGGCCAACTTAATCCCATCTGAAGAAGAAAAGAAGCCAAAAGCGAGCAGTAGAAAAAATCATTTGCTTGGGCAATGGCAATTTAATTTGCTTTGGCTTAGAGCTCGGCAAACTTTTTGGCCCTTGAAATGGGAGTTCGACCGAAAGGATCTAGGGTATAGAGTTACGAGGCCCACTTAAAGGTCTTGAGTTCTGAGTACACAAAGTCAGTGAGGAAATGGGGGCTATAGTGGAGGAGGAGGTGGAATGGGATCCATTAACTTACCTCTGAAACTCTGAGTCTAAGCTAATGTTATTTGTAAACAAACATTAGAGACAATTCCATTTGATACAACTTTTTAAAGATGTCATAAATAAAAATCAAAAATAATTCACTAAATATTTAAAACAATTTTTTAAGATAATACAATTTTTTTTAAATCTTTCATTTTACCTCATCCTTTTTCCTAAAAACCTGTGTATACGTACTTATTTTATTTGCATTATTTCCAACACGACCAAAACACTTTTTTAACTCGGAATTTTCTGGCAACCTCAGAGAACCTCCCTCCCTAATCTTCCTTCTCCCATTTGCATTCTCTATTCACAGAATTTATGTCTCAACTTGCCTAAGCCGTGTTTGTAGTAAAATCTCCACTA